ATTTCAGTGGTGATTGTAACCATAACGTGCCTGGCCACATTTCTCTGTTCCTGGAGACAGTTCTTGTCTATGACTGGCCACAGTTCTTGTTTATGTCTGGCCACAGTTCTTGTTTATGTCAGGCCACAGTTCTTGTTTATGACTGGTCACAGTTCTTGTTCATGTCTAGCCACAGTTCTTGTCTATGACTGGCCACAGTTCTTGTTTATGACTGGCCACAGTTCTTTTTTATGACTGGCCACAGTTCTTGTCTATGACTGGCCACAGTTCTTGTCTATGACTATCCACAGTTCTTGTTTATGTCTGGCCACAGTTCTTGTCTATGATTGGCCACAGTTCTTGTTTTATGACTGGCCACAGTTCTTGTCTATGACTGGCCACAGTTCTTGTCTATGCCAGGCCACAGTTCTTGTCTATGACTGGCCACAGTTCTTGTCTATGACTGGCCACAGTTCTTGTCTATGCCAGGCCACAGTTCTTGTCTATGACTGGCCACAGTTCTTGTCTATGACTGGCCACAGTTCTTGTCTATGACTGGCCACAGTTCTTGTGTATGCTTGGCCACAGTTCTTGTCTATGACTGGCCACAGTCCTTGTTTATGTCTGGCCACAGTTCTTGCCTATGCCTGGTCACAGTTCTTGTCTATTCCAGGCCACAGATCTTGTCTATGCCAGGCCACAGTTCTTGTCTATGCCAGGCCACAGTTCTTGTCTATGCCAGGCCACAGCTCTTGTTTATGCCTGGCCACAGTTCTTGTCTATGCCAGGCCACAGTTCTTGTCTATGCCAGGCCACAGTTCTTGTCCATGCCTGGCCACAGTTCTTGTCTATGCCAGGCCACAGCTCTTGTTTATCCCTGGCCATAGTTCTTGTTTATGCCTGGCCACAGTTCTTGTTTATGCCTGGCCACAGTTCTTGTATATGCCTGGCCACAGTTCTTGTTTATGTCTGGCCACAGTTCTTGTTTATCCCTGGCCACAGTTCTTGTTTATGCCTGGCCACAGTTCTTGTTTATGCCTGGCCACAGCTCTTGTTTATGACTGGCCACAGCTCTTGTTTATCCCTGGCCACAGTTCTTGTTTATGTCTGGCCACAGTTCTTGTTTATGCCTGGCCACAGTCCTTGTCTATGCCTGGCCACAGTCCTTGTCTATGCCAGGCTACAGTTCTTGTTTATGCCTGGCCACAGTTCTTGTCTATGCCTGGCCACAGTTCTTGTTTATGCCAGGCCACAGTTCTTGTTTATGTCTGGCCACAGTTCTTGTCTATGCCAGGCTACAGTTCTTGTTTATGCCTGGCCACAGTCCTTGTCTATGCCTGGCCACAGTCCTTGTCTATGCCAGGCCACAGTTCTTGTTTATGCCTGGCCACAGTTCTTGTCTATGCCTGGCCACAGTCCTTGTCTATGCCAGGCTACAGTTCTTGTCTATGCCTGGCCACAGTTCTTGTCTATGCCAGGCTACAGTTCTTGTTTATGTCTGGCCACAGTTCTTGTTTATGTCAGGCCACAGTTCTTGTGTATGCCTGGCCACAGTTCTTGTTTATGTCAGGCCACAGTCCTTGTTTATGCCTGGCAAAAGTTTTTGTCTATGCCAGGCCACAGTTCTTGTCTATGCCTGGCCTCCTCACCACAAACACAGTCACTGGCTCCTGTTTTGTTTTTAGTGTCTGTTATTTCATATGCTGCTGAATTTGTTTCATATCAATTTTCCAGTGTCAGTTTTGTGGTGCTGCTCTAGTATGTGTTTTTTTTTTTTTTTTTAATGTCAACCATGATTTAGATTCGACATTCAATAAATTATGGAAGTGATAATGTCTTTATCTTGTCTCCAAGTGTCATGGACACAGGATGGAAGCTATGCAGGAGAAATGCGTATGGTAGTGATGGTCACCCTGAAGATTGTCAGCCATCTCTGCAATCCAGATTGTCTACAACCTTTCCTGAAAATTTATTCCATCTTAAAACAAACCCAAAAAAAACCAAAAACTTTGTTGTCTCCTTTACAGGAGGTTTCAGAACTAACCCAAATATTTTATTTTTGGCTGTTGTGATTTTTAAACAATCTTCCATTTGCAGATGATACAGTGTTAATATCTGAAAACGCAGACAAGACAACAAGACATTCCTCTACTAGAGAGTGCAAAAAAAAGGACTTTCCCTAAATGTCAAAAAAACAGAAACAACGGTTATATCAAATAAGAAGATAACTCCAAAATATGACATAGCAGTAGAAGGGAAAGTGCTGAACCAAATCAGTCAATAAATAAATTCAAGTATTTTAAAACATTGCTAGCATCAAATGGACAATGTGTGACAGCAGAACTGGCCAGGCAAAGGCAGCATTTCAGAATATGAAAAGTATCTTGTTGAATAAATCACTCTCATTAAACATCAGAAAACAAGAACTGAAATGTTACATCTGTTGCTTGGTAATGAATCTTGGAATGTGAGCAAAGAAATTAAGAAGAGTTTATAGGCAACTGAGATGTGGTTCTTAAGAAGAATGTCGCAAATACCTTCAACTGCCAGAAATAACAATGATTGCCTGGAAATGGCTAATGAAAGTAGAATATTATATACAACAGGTCTTTGGTCATGTGATGAGAAAAGGAGCACTGGAGAATATCGTGACGACTGGAAAGATCACTGGTAGAAGAGGCAGACCAAGAGAAGTGATGTTGGATGGCTTAACACGGTGGCATTGAGCAATATCACCAGTGGAATTGATCCAAAACACCAAAGACAGAAGATCTGTGGAGATACATGAATGCCTGCGCCAGTTGTAAGGCACTTGATGACGATGATGTGGTTTTCGTAGACAAATTTTACATTAATTAGTTTGCCATTGCCTCCTGAATGGTCGGTTCTCAATACCACTGTCGAAACCAATGCAAGATGGTCTGCTGTCAAATCGCCTGCAGCTGGGATCAAACCCGGTGTCCTGGCATTATAAAGTGTATCTACAACACATAGGCCAGTCTTTGTGGTGATAGTCTCAATATATAGTTTTTTTTTTTATTCAGTATATTTGGTGATATTGGCAATATGAACAGTCAGACTGGAATGTTCAAACATGAGAGTGAAAATATGCAAGGAATTTTATTATAAATGTCATTGGGAGTAAGAAGCAACAGAAAAAATGTCTTTATAAAACAATAACCGTGCTGTATGAACACTTTTGAACTGTTTGCATCTTTTATGTTTGGCCTGGCTCAACAAAGGTAGGATAGGAATGGCTGGTCAAATGAAGATAAGGATACTGGGTAACTAAAGGTATTATCAAATATCTAGGAAGTATGATCACAGAAGATGGTAGAATTTACAGAGAAATAGAAACCAGATGTCAGAAAGCAAGTGCATTTATATACCAATTGTCACCATTATTAAGACATCCAAGCATAACTATGAGTGGAAAGAGACAGATTATTAATAGCATATTCATTCTAACATTGATCTACCAGTGCCAAACATGGACACTATCTAAAGCCCATATACGCAAAATCACCACCTGCGAGATGAGGTGTCTGAGAAAGGCAGCTAACCTAACCATACGAGATCGAGTGAATAATAAAACTGTCAGGCAAATTGTGGGAACGAAACCTTGTACTAGATTCATCGAGAAACAGCAGATCAAGTGGTTTGGCCATCACTTTAGAATGCAGCAAGATCAAATACCATCACAAGCACTTCATTTCAGAAGATCAACTACAAGAGCAAGAGGACGGCCGCGGAAATATGGATTGACAATATTAAAGACACTCTACGCCTTCACGGCAGGACAGTAGCCAGTGGCAGCCAACGTGCACTGGATCGCAAATTATTCCTCCCCACGACGCTTAACGGCAGAAGTGGTTTATGATAATGATGATGATGAAGGTATTATCAGTGACTAACCTACTTAAATATACCACCTGTGAGATGAGATGCCTGAGAAAAGCTGCCAACCTTAACCAGCAGAGACAACAAAGTTAGACAAGATATCATCAGACTGTGGGAACAATCTCAGGCAGCCAATGAAGTGAAAGCAAGAGGTTGCCCTCAGAGAAAATGGATTGATGACATTAAAGAGCTTCTACATCAACTCGGCATGACAATAGCCATTGTTGCCCATCAAGCAATGGATCACAGACCGCTCCTCCCCACAACACTTAACCGCAGAAGTGGAAATGAATGATGATGATAAGTAAGATAAAAGTAGATACTCTATTTAATGCTGGAGCTCATCCTTCTTACTTTCTACACTCTACTCTCTACACTGCTCTGTTTTTCAGATGTGATGACCACCTGATGATAGTTGTTTCTATGACTCCTCCAGCTGTGGTTCCAGTATGCCATCACACCCAGGGTAGATGCTTCACTCTGTCATTCAGTGACTACTTGTGCCAGACATTTGATCCCAGTTCTGATGCTTCTGTATGAGGTGTTGCCAATATTCCCTGGTCAAGTCATGTTTTCATGTCACCATTTCTCACTCCCCACTCTGTGCTGCATCATGTCCATCAGGTGCTCTAATATACCTGCGATATGGCTGACGGAGTTTCTAGCATTTGCTGCTATTTGCTTCCCATCCATGAGATGATAATCCTATGTTTTGGTTCTCATCCATGAGATGTTAATCTTATGTTTTGCTACCCATTCATGTGATGTTAATCCTAAGTTTTGGTTCTTATCCATGAGATGTTAATCCTATCCATGTGATGTTAATCCTGTGTTTTGGTTCTTATTCATGAGATGATAATCCTATGTTTTGGGTTCTCATCCATGAGATGATAATCCTATGTTTTGGGGTCTCATCCATGAGATGTTAATCCTATGAGAGGATAATCCTATGTAAAGTAGCTTTCTAGGGGACCAGTGACCAACCAGCTGTTAAAGATGCTGCCACAGCGTACACTGAAAGAACCTTCTTACGTCTGCAGAGTTTAACTGGTTAAACGGTACAAACAAATCTAGAGTAAATCTTTGATAAACTAGTGTTCAGTAAAGTGTGTATTTGAGCATCACAGGTGAGATCTGGGTTCGAATCTGTCAATCTTGAATGGTTTCATGTTGTAGGTCGGGACTTTCTTCAGGACAAGTTCAGTTACTGCCTTACCTATCACAGGTGCCAGTTTGAAACCGTGACCTAAATTAGAGGGCAGCAGAGAAAATTCATTGGTTATATTGTAGACCATGTTTTGAACAGATTGCTTAGTCTATAAATCTATATGGTACATATGTCTACTACATTTGGATTGGTTAGTGTATCAGATACATATATCTACTTCATTTTGAGTGGTTAGTCTAAGTACATATGCCTGCTTCATTTTGATTGGTTAGTCTATCAGATACATTTATTTACTTCCTTTTGATTGATCAGCCTACCAGGTACATATGTCTGCTGCACTTTGATTGGTTAGTCTAACAAGTACATATGTCTGCTACATTTCGATTGGTTAGTCTACGTATTTATGCCTGCTTCATTTTGATTAGTTAGTCTAAGAGGTACATATATCTACTTCCTTTTGATTGTTCAGCCTACCAGGTACATATGTCTGCTTCATTTAGAGTGGTTAGTCTATCAGTACATGAATTAACTACATTTTGATTAAGTAATTCAGGTAATAGAATATATGAGTAATTCAGCCAATAGAATAGACGAGTAATTCAACTAATTGAATAGATGACTTATGGTGTAAACATTAACTGGATTTAGGGGGTCACTACTCTATCTTAGATTCTGAATCCATCTGTAAATGCTAGGGGAGGGAGACAAATACGAGGGCAGAATGGGGGGGGGGGGGGGGGTGTGTGCGTGCGGGCGGGCGGCCCGGGGGGGGGGGTGTGTGTGTATATATATATATATATATATATATATATATATATATATATATATATATATATATATATATATATATATATACCACAGGCAGGGTAGACAGGAGTCGTGATCCTGAGGATTTAGAGCCACATGGCCAGTGCTATCGCCACCGACTGTGCAGGTTTGCCAAACTTAAACGTCCTTAACCTGCATAGTCAGTGACGACAGAACTGGCCATTCGGCCCAAACTGTGGGGGGGGGGGGGGGGGGTGTATGTATTTTCATTAATAGATTCATTGACAAACAGTGAGCGCGGACTGACCTGAAAAACCAGCAGCCACAATGATGTTGGGGAACCTGGGATGTTGGTCCAAGAACGGGTGTTTGTCCGGTGTCTCCTGGAGAAGGTAGTTAACAAACGATCACTCTTCCATGACATGGAACTTAGGAAATGAGGTCGCCCAAAGAAGTACAACAACAACAAAAAGTGCCCTTTTCACAATGTTGATTGTCTGCAATGTTTCCACTGTTTCATTCTTCTCAAAACTTGTGCCTGCACACTTTAATGAATGTTTTGAAAACTGCTGTGCGGATTGGATCAATATGAATGTTTGTTGAACCCCGGTGTGGGTTCCGGGACCCACTGCCTACCCAAAAGCATGTCGTAAGAGTCGACTAATTGGGAGCTTCCTTCGAAGTTGGAGTGTATCTGCCTGAGAGGCCACGAACCAACAGTCTGCATACAGATCTGTTAAACGGATGCACACGCAACACTCAGGTTCTGGAACAGGACTGCAGTCCAGAAGTAGACGAACAACCAGAACTTTTCGTCGGAGTTTACAGCCGGTAAACGCGAAAAAGAAAAAGAATGTTTGAATGTGACCTTAGACTTCCAGTGCCTTTATGATTCTCTAATTTACAATTGAACAGATGCTGTTTATTCTTCAAGCGGTGAATTTCTTTGATCTCTGTTTGATTAAAACTTTGCTTACCCCTGAAAAATAGAATATACAATAACTTGCCAAATTTGTGGAGACCAGTTGGAAATAATTTCACATGTGCAGCAATATGTGGTGGTATGTTAATGGTATATCTGGCATTGAGTGAAAAAGCAGCAACTCACAGGATACAAATGCTGTAGATGACCTTTTGAGAGTGAAATGCCTATAAAAGGCACACAATCTGATATTTTGAAAAAAGTCACCACATTTTAGCGAGCCAAGAGAAAGAGAGAGCTTTCTGGTACTTGGTACTTGGTGTTGGTAAAAAAACCGAAAAACTTCTTGCCTCTTTCAACCGGCTCCTAGATTGAGCTTTGGTTATATCAAGGCGGTGTTTTGTTGTCTGGAGTTCGTTCTCCAGTTATTGACGTTTCTGTGCGGCGATCGTATTACGCCTGAGGGTTTGTTGCTGCTGTCAGGGTTAGGTAAGGGATCTCGGTCTGCCCTGAAAAGGGCGGACTATAGCCTTGGGACGGCCTGGGTCGAGTGAGGTGGGCGTGGCTTGGGCGGCGGGCATCGTGTCGTCTGGTTGTGGGCTGTGAGGTTTCTCCGGGCTGGTGGGCGGGGTTGTTCAGCTGTCATGGCGGTTTGGCTTTGGTGTTGTCAGCTGTTGGGTTTTATTGGCTTCTGGATGGTTTAGTGCGGTCAGCATGTTTGTGTTCTGAATCGGCTGGCTGTTCTTCTAGTTCTACGCTCTCCTCGCCTGGTTCTGTCGGGTCTTCCTCCTGGTCATATTCACTCTGGTATTCACATTCTGGGTAGGCCAAAGCCACAATTTTACCAATGGTTTTTGTTTCGATGGAGAGATTGTGCTTAACTTGGTTGAGCTCCTGAATGATTTTGCGTGCTTTTGTAATTTCGTCTTGGATGGTGGTGAGTTTGTTAAGTGCCGCTGTTTTTTCCTCCTGTAAGGCTATCAGCTTCTTGAGCTCTAGCACCGCCGCCTCTTTTTTTTTATTTCTGCTGGGTCAATCTCGTGACTTCTAGATATGCGCTTTCTCTGGCCTCCTTGAGTTCCGCCATCTCCTTCTGTCTTTCCTGCCTCTCATCCTGTCGGTGTTTTTCTGCTTCCTCCTGGGCTATTTTTAGATTTTCAGTGAGTGCGTGGATGCTGTCTTTGATTTCTGCATCGCGTTTGTTGTTTTTGATTAGTTGGGCTTCTTGGTTTGAGCTGACCTCCTTCAGTACTTTGATTTCCCTCAACATAAGGGTGATCAGCTCATGGGTTTCTGCTTTCTCAGCGGCGGCGGCTTCTCTCTCCTTCTGTAGTTCAGCTTTAAGCTCGGTGAGGGCTCGCACCATCTCATGGTCTCTGGTGGCGACCTCTTTCCTCTCTGGGCGGGTGGAGTGGCTTGATGTGTTGCTTGGCCTGGGTGCCTCGTATCTCTGCTGGTGTCTAGGTCCGGCATTATTCATCGCCCTCTTCATCTGCTTGAGGTACGGGCAACCCAGGTACCTCGCGCTGTGGGCCCCTCCACAGTTTGAGCATCGTCTGCTCGGGTTGGGCTTCTTAAAGTACGGGTCCTTCTTGGCTACCGGCACTCCTTGAAATCATGCGCCTGGGAGCAGTATCTGCAAGCAAGGCTGCTGCGGCAATTCGCGGCTGTGTGCCACGCCTTGTTACAGCTCGAACACTGTGGGATTTCTTGACTGGCGGCTCCCGGTCGCTGCTGCTGCTGCCTGTGTGGTCGGGTGTAGGTGGGCTCCTGCGCCATGACAGGGGCGACTTCTGGCTGTGATGCTGCCTCGACAGGGGCCTCATCGGAAGCTGGCGGCGTCTGGGTAGGTGTGGCTGACGTCTCGATAGGGACGTCAGTCGAAGCTGGCATTGTCTGCACCGTAGGGGCTGGTGCGACGTCAGGTGCAGTCTCCTTGTTAGCCGATGTAGCTCTGGTGTCACGGCGCTGGATCGGGTTCTTCTTGCCACGGGCCATAGTGGATGTGGCTGGCAAAGGCTGTTCTGATCGGGCTGCTGTTTGATTGCTAGGTCCCTTCGGAGTCGGCAAGGTTTGTTAGAGTATCCTGAAAAGGACACCCAAGCGTGCTTTCTCCTTCTGCACAAAGCCTTTTATAACCTTCACGGGCCTGCCACATTTAGTTCGCAAGTGTAGTCAGACCAAAATTAGTAACAGGCTAAACTGTTTGGCCACTCTTTTACAGGAGATATGAACAGATAGGAGCCTGATAGAGTTTACCACCAGGACGAGATGCACACTGTGATACAAGTGGCAGAATAACACCAACATTAGTCTGAGAGGGGCTAGAATGAGAAGGCGCTGGAGATACATTACAGCCAACCTTCAGTGCGAAGACGGCACCCGGCTGATGATTGAACTAAACTTAAAAAATGATATTCAGCAAACTGATCGGTTGGTGGTGAGATATTAGCAAGCGTTAACAGTAAATATTGAAAATAACACAATCTGTGACTATAAAGCTCGATAAAGGAAATGAAAAAGACCGCACAAATACAACAGACAGTTTCAACAAAAGCCTTTATCAACAGAATACTAAATTCAACACAAACTGGGACTAGAAAACTAAACTGACAAGACAAAAAAAAATTTAGAAACAACCAAGGCAAGAATGAGACCAGAAATATATCAGAGGAGAAAATCTGGACACGAATGGCCTTTTTTTTTTTAAGTTAGCTGCATGTCTTTTAGAGAGGACGTTGCCGAACCAATCCTAGCATTTGGTATGCTTGTGTGTGTCTGGGGGGGGGGGGGTGTTTTTATGATTTTACCAGGCAATTCTATTTTTCAGTAGTTTGCCACTGCCGACTGAACGATACGCTCTCAATATCACTGTGGAAACCAATGCAAAGTGAACTGCTGTGCTGCTGCCAACTCACCCGCAGCTGCAATCGAACCAGGCACCCTGGAAATACGCAACGCCTAAGGAAGAAATATAAACCAGTTTATTTTTTTTTAAACCTGCCTATTTAAACAACGATATGAGAGCATGGATTCACGCAGGATTTCTAAAAGAAGGCCGAAACTATGAATCAACCAATTGTTCAACGAGAGGTGGCTGCTTTGATCACAGGAGCAAGATTGTATGGCAGTAAGTGAGATGTCTTATCAACAGCGTGACAGTGAACTGCACAAGACTGACCGTGTAAATACAATACTCTCTGATAGAAGGTGTTGTGGCCAGGCCTTTGAATGTGGACTTCACAGTAGCCAGGGTACCCTCTTCCGTCCAGGAGTCATCTGTACCTTTATCTCTGTCGTCTGGGTCGATACTAGGACCTTCGTGAGGACAGACCTGGTTGGTTTAAAGAGATTATGTCACAGGTCAGTCATAATTCTCGACGGCCGCTGTATGCGGTTGTCAGTGAAGGATCTTCTTCTTCTTCTTCTTCTTCTTCTTCTTCTTCTTCTTCTTCTTCTTCTTCTTCTTCTTCTTCTTCTTCTTCTTCTTCTTCTTCTTCTTCTTCTTCTTCTTCTTCTTCTTCTTCTTCTTCTTCTTCTTCTTCTTCTTCTTCTTCTTCTTCTTCTGTCTTTCTATCCCCCAATGGAGCATAGGCCCTCAACCAACTCACGCCAAGTCGTTCTATCCTTCGCCATTGCATGGAGCTCTCCCCATGTCCTCCCCATCTTTCTAACTTCATTCTCCAGCTCTCTTCTCCATGTGTTTTTTGGCCTTCCTTTATTCCTATGTCCCTGTGGGTTCCAATGCAAAGACATTCTAGTTATGCTGTTCTCCTGTTTTCTCAGTGTGTGTCTAATCCAACGCCAGCATATTTTCCTCATCTCTTGGTCCACTGGAGCCTGTTTAGTTCTCTCCCAAAGTTCTACATTAGTTATTCTATCATACCATTTAATTCCCTCTATTCTGTGCAGGCACCAGTTAATGAATGTCTGTAATTTATGAGTAATTGTCTTAGTTGTTCTCCATGTTTCCGCCCCATACAAAAGTACTGATCTGAAACTAGTAGGATGGAATTCGGCAGGTTTCATAAAGAGCAAGTCTTCCATTTCTGCCTACAGTAGGCATGAACTTTTCAAGATGCAAACGTACAGACAGTAATACTCCTTCTTAGTGGCGTGCGTGTGTGTATGTAATGAAAGTATGCATAGTCAAATAGCAAAAATACACAAAATGATACACACACGTGCCAAAATAAACAATTAACAAATACCTAACTGGTCGAATGATTCAATAAATTCAACTATCATTGCCACCACACTCGGAATTATTCATTTTTAACACAGCCTACTCATCTTCAAAGCCACACTGCTGAAGTACGAACTCGGCATCACAGGCAAGAATCTCCATATACAAAAAAATCAAACAGACTGTATATTCTGTTTATCATATCTTTTAAGAGATTATAGCAGGCTGTCTATTCTGTTTATCATGAGAAAAAAGCAGACTGCACATACTGTTGATGATTTCTGACACGAAAATAAAATAGACTGCATGCTTTGTGTATCATATCTTATAAAAGATTGAACAAGACAGCACATATTTTTTGTCAAAAGGACTTTGTTCAAGAGTACAAATGTTGCATTAGTACAAATGTTGTATTAGTACAAATGTTGCATTAGTACAAATGTTGGGTTGTTTTAAATGCTGTTCTTGTCACCGAAAGATTAAATCTCTTAGCTCTCAAAACAGGTGAGCTGGTCGAATGGTACGCTTTCAAGCTGGAGACCAAGGTTCGAATCCTCGGTAAATTTGCCGATTTTTGTGTCTGGAGCAAAAGTACAACCCTAACCTGCACAGTCGGTGGCAACAGCACTAGCCATGCGACCGTAACCCCCCGCCTTTTTTTCCGTCTACACTGCAAAGGGGACAGCTGTCAAAACAGCAACCAACGAAAAGTGGACATCACCAAATGGACACATACATGCACGCGCATAGGCATACAAGCACAAACAGACAAAGCGACAGACGCATATATAGACAAACAGACGCATGCGCACACACACTCGAGAGAAAGAGAAACGGTCAGGGACACACATACAGAGACAAGCTAATTACCAGAAACAGTATGTAAAGAAACCTTTCTAGGTCAGTCGACCATCGTGTGTATTTTTTTAGTATCCAGAAGCCATGAGTTATTAACCCTTACGGCATTATGGATATCGCAACCTTTCGGCCTTAATTCCATGATAAATACCGCAAATCTGGGAGAAATGTGGCTTTTCTGCCTACCACCAGGCGTGAAGCAAGACCACAAGGAGTTCGTCACCCGGTCACCGCACAGTCCAGTTTAGCCAACTACGCTAGAGAGCCGGACACCGTCGTATGTAGAAAGCTACACTCATTTGTCAGTATCAATTGCCGCTCAATGATGGGTGATGAAGTCACTATGAGGTCAGACTTCCCAGACATTTTCTGGTACCCATTTTAAACCGGAACGACCTTGAAGCCAAAGTCAGACAACAGAGGACAACAAAAGAACAGACATGACCTTGACAAGCCCCGGATACTCGGAGATGGGCAGGCCGTAGGTGTGGAAGTGGCTGCCGCCTCCACGGGAGTCGATGAAACAGGGGAACTGGCTGGATCCGTACATCTCCCGGTAGTCGTCAGAGGCTCGCCAGTAGAACACGGAGATTCGGATTGGCTGCGGGGCAAACGAGTCAAGGAAAATCGGTTAAACGTGCACTTTTGATAACATAAACATAAGTAACTAAAGGACCCTTTTCCACGCCATTCAGGCGTATTGGGTATATAGGGCTAGACCTATATTAATAGACCAACGGCACAAGATGGGTGATGTTTCATGCCGACCGCCTTTACTTCCCATGACTGCACCTAGTATCTACTCAAGGCTGGGTCGACCTGGGAGCCAAGGTCATTTTTGAAAAAAGTCCGGCTCTGCCAGGGAGCGAACCCACGACCTTCTGATCGGCAGGCGTGCATCTAGATGCCACGCCACGGCGGCTCCCGATAACAAAAACGTGAGGACCGAAATTGTTTAGTCTGACTGAATGTGTTTAATGGGACCGTGTCTGACTGAATGTGTTTAATGGAACCGTGTCTGACTCAATGTGTTTAATCGGGCCGTGTCTGACTAAATGTGTTTAATGGGACCATGTCAGACTAAATGTGTTTAATGGGACCAAGTCTGACTGAATGTTTTAATGGGGCAGTGTCTGACTGAATGTGTTTAATGGAACCGTGTCTGACTAAATGTGTTTAATGGAACCGTGTCTGACTGAATGTGTATAATGGAACCGTGTCTGACTCAATGTGTTTAATCGGGCCGTGTCTGACTAAATGTGTTTAATGGGACCATGTCTGACTAAATGTGTTTAATGGGACCATGTCAGACTAAATGTGTTTAATGGGGCAGTGTCTGACTGAATGTGTTTAATTGGGCCGTGTCTGACTAAATGTGTTTAATAAGAATGAACATTTATAATGGGACTGAACATTAAAGTGATTGCTTACCGACCTTAAGATCCGCTGGGGGCGAAGGAGGGAGGAAATTGTTTTATACTATGGCCTCGTGTCGACAAAATGTAAAATGGCTACCCAAGAAATCTCCTGTGAGGTCTTCTACTTCGTGTTCACCGACTGTAAACTTCGGTGGAAAGTTCCGGTTGTTTGTCCACCTCTCGACTTTAGTTTTGTTCCTGGACCTGAGTGTTGAGTGCACATCTGTTTTACAGATCTGACACATTTCTATACAGATGATTGGTTCCTTACCTTTCAGGGAGATGCACTCCAACTTCAAAGGAAGCTCCCAGTTAGTCAACGCTTACGACATGCTTGTTGGGGAGACAGTGGGTCGTATTTTCAACCACAATGGGGCCCTGGCACCCACACGGGAAATCCTGGGAAGTAACCACAATGGGTGATGTTGACTCCACAAAAAGTAGAATGTCGATTAGTCTGTTAAACGTGGGTCCAGCACCTTATATCCGGCGTGCCACTGCACTGATGAAAGACCGGTTTACGGATGTCAGTTTGGTTGTAGCGCTGCTATTGTTTGGAGGCTGCGTGTGTGAATCTCGGGTATACATAGCTGGCATTGTTAACTTGTCTAACGTTTTTATTTTTATTTTATATTCTACATCTGCCATTCACTTCTGTCAGTGCCCATCTATCTCTATCTGCTTTTACCTCACCAGGACATCGCCCAAGCGATAAACACCCGATGACACAAAGTACCACCATGTGGATGAGGATCACCCGTGGAGAGGTCCCAGAAACCGCGTTCAGCCATTAGACCATATTTATGGTCGGGCTATATTGTGGCCTTCGGTAGGAGCCAGAGTGGGGCTTCAACTAACGAAAAATTGCATCTCACAAGGAGGAGTAAGTCATTACTACTCGTCCTTTTCAGGATACATTTTTCGTTATTTGAAGCCCTACTCTGGCTCTTGCCAGGGGCCGCGATATAGCCCGGCCATAAATATGTACTAAAGGTTGAACGCGGTTTCTGGGACCTCGCCACGGTGATTCTCACCCGCATGGTGGCACATTGTGTCATCGGGTGTTTATCGCTTGTGTGATGTCCTGGTGGGGTAGAAAGTCAGTCATCTTACAAGGAGATGACTGGGTACTGATATCAGTGCTCATCTAAGTCTAACTTTATTTATCATTTCATTAATAATGTCATTATTATTATCATTTTATTATTAATGTCATTATTATTATTTGTATTATTAACTAGAGTTCTGTCTGCTGTTGCCAGGAGTATCACAAGGCTGGACACTCATATGCCCTGGCAATCTGAAACATTGCCAAAGGCTGAGTCAAATCCTTGTGACAAAGGGAAACTACCACAAAACAAAGGGAAACTACCACATTATTACCCCCCCCCCCCCCCCCCCCCCCCCCCATAAAGTCATCGTAAACAAAGAGCTTATGTAAGTCTCAGAGTGACAACACAGACTGACAACATAGACTGACAACATAGACTAAAAACATGGATTGAGAACACAGCCTGACAACATAGACTAACAATATGAACTGACAACACAGACTGACAACATAGACTGACAACATGGACTGACAACATGACTAAAAACATGGACTGAGAACACAGACTGACAACATGGACTAACAACATAGACTAAGAACACAGACTGACAACATAGACTTAACAAACAAAACAAGATTTTTTCTTTACATAATCCATACAGGAAGCGTTTTAATTCTCCCCTCCAGGATGACATTGTCTAGGATTAACATCCCACGGACGAGAATCACACGTATAAATCCCGGAAACTCTGAACAGCTATATGGAAATGAAAACAAAAAGTAAAGGACATTTCTCCACTCCACTCAGGTATATTGGGCATATAGGGCTAGACAAAAATTTAATAGACTAATCGACACTTGCTGATCGATGTGGTCAACATCACACTGGCCACCTTTACTTCCCAGGACTATACCTGGTACCCCCTCAAGGCTAGGTCAAATAAGGAGCTAATGTTATTATCAACAACAAAAGTCCGACTGGCAGCCGCTACACCACGACAGCTTCCTGTAGCCATAGAGCAATCATTTATCCTGAGGCACCATAAAACGGTTAGGAAGTGATCTGGAGTCTACAATGCGTGGGTTGTGACTTACTTTCAGGGGTAGATGTAAGCCAACAGATGCGCAGAGTGGTCCCGACCATGGCCCGGCGGCAAACACAACATTCGCTGACGTGTACACAGACTTGGTGGTCGCTATCACAACCTGACTGCCTGGGGTGACGGAGGTCACCGGTTCGTTGTCGTGAATGACACCACCCAGTTGTTTGAACACTGTCTGAAGTGACCAAGAAATGTGTGTCAACTTTTTAATAACATTCCTGTTTTTACAGCGTTGGTTTTATCACAATACAATTGTCTCTCATTTATATATTTCTTTAGGCAGAGTAAAACCCAGGACAATGTAACTAAAGCGACTACACGTCCCGTTTTCACCCAGGCAATCCCGTTTTCTTTTTTGGGTGTGTTCCATTGGTACTTCAAAATAAATAAATTACATTTTCCTGATTTATAAAACTCTATGAATAAGCGGTTGTGAGTCTTGAACTCTCACTTAGTTACTGAGAAAAAAGATTGGAGCTTTTGAAATGAAATACTATAGAAAAATTCTTAGAATACCATGGATCAGGAAAAGGAAAAACATCGACATTCTGAACAAGTTGAACATCAAGGAGAACTGGCTCATAAACAGCATTCTGTCCCGAAAGTTGAAGTATTTTGGCCACATCAAGCGTCATGGTGGCTTGGAAAAGACGGTGATGGAAGGTGCAGTCTGTGGAGGGCGAGGCAGAGGCCGACCACCGCGAAGATGGATACAAGACATTGAAGATGCATTGGCATTTAAAGCACATGGGGCTGGAGAACTGTCTAGGGAAAGGGATACTTTCATGTGCGCCGTGAAGAGAGCGACGTTCTGTGCTGATTGATGATGAATAAGCTAGAGAACAGAACATTTACTTATATACATTTACCCAAACTAAACGTAAACTATATATAGATATCTATACACTTATTAGTGGAACTAATAAAAACAAGAAATGCAACCCAAGTAAAGGAAACAATTTCATTATTCACTAATCTAATTAGAAGGGCTTACAGAATTTGTATCCTAAATAATTTCATATTCTTAAAATGTATTAGTTTCCTAATGATTGTTAGTAATAATTAAACTCCATCATTGTGTTCTGGAAGCGAAGAGTAACAAATGTGGCCTGGGGGGGAGGGGGGGGTGGGGAGAGGGGGGGGGGCAACATGGGTCTGGTCACGTCACAGGCGACAAGGACCTTAGATATGTTAGACAGAATCAGGTGTAGAACTATTAGTCAGACTTATACACTTCACCTGAGTGAGACTAAGTATGTGTTTGTTTTTCCTGGGTGAAGTGACGTTGATTTGTAATAATAATAATAAAATCAACACAGAAACATTTGTGAACTGGAGTCTGTGCAGACTGTCAGGAATAACATTGCATAATAGTATCACACATGCAGAGCTTACAACAACAAGACACACACACATGTGTGTGTGTGTATATATATATATATATATATATATATATATATATATATAGAGAGAGAGAGAGAGAGAGAGAGAGAGAGAGGGGGTGGGGAGAGAGAGACAGAGAGAGAGAGAGAGAGAGAGAGAGAGAGAGAGAGAGAGAGAGAGAGAGAGAGAGAGAGGGTTAAATAATTCTGATGAAAACGACACAGACTAAGAAGACTTGATACGACACATAAGATAGCTTTGAGTAAAACGGTTGGTCCATTAGGGGATAAAGGATAGTAGTCGTAGTTATAATAGTAGCACTGGTAGTAGTATTAGTAGTATTTATTGTGGTAGTATTGGTTGTAGTAGTAGTTATAGTGGTAGTACTGGTTGTAATAGAAGTTATAGTGGTAGTACTGGTTGTAGTACTAGTTATAGTGTTAGTACTTGTTGTAGTAGTAGTTATAGTGATAGTACTGGTTGTAGTAGTAGTTATAGTGGTAGTACTGGTTGTAGTACTAGTTATAGTGTTAGTACTTGTTGTAGTAGTAGTTATAGTGATAGTACTGGTTGTAGTAGTAGTTATAGTGTTAGTACTTGTTGTAGTAGTAGTTATAGTGTTAGTACTGGTTGTAGTACTAGTTATAGTGGTAGTACTGGTTGTAGTACTAGTTATAGTGATAGTACTGGTTGTAGTAGTAGTTATAGTGGTAGTCCTGGTTGTAGTACTAGTTATAGTGGTAGTCCTGGTTGTAGTAGTAGTTATAGTGTTAGTACTTGTTGTAGTACTAGTTATAGTGGTAGTACTGGTTGTAGTACTAGTTATAGTGATAGTACTGGTTGTAGTAGTAGTTATAGTGATAGTACTGGTTGTAGTAGTAGTTATAGTGGTAGTCCTGGTTGTAGTACTAGTTATAGTGTTAGTACTTGTTGTAGTAGAAGTTATAGTGGTAGTACTGGTTGTAATAGAAGTTATAGTGGTAGTACTGGTTGTAGTAGTAGTTATAGTGTTAGTACTGGTTGTAGTACTAGTTATAGTGGTAGTACTGGTTGTAGTACTAGTTATAGTGGTAGTACTGGTTGTAGTAGTAGTTATAGTGGTAGTACTGGTTGTAGTACTAGTTATAGTGATAGTACTGGTTGTAGTAGTAGTTATAGTGATAGTACTGGTTGTAGTAGTAGTTACAGTGGTAGTACTGGTTGTAGTAGAAGTTATAGTGGTAGTACTGGTTGTAGTAGTAGTTATAGTGTTAGTACTTGTTGTAGTACTAGTTATAGTGGTAGTACTGGTTGTAGTAGTAGTTATAGTGTTAGTACTGGTTGTAGTACTAGTTATAGTGTTAGTACTTGTTGTAGTACTAGTTATAGTGGTAGTACTGGTTGTAGTACTAGTTATAGTGGTAGTACTGGTTGTAGTACTAGTTATAGTGGTAGTACTGGTTGTAGTAGTAGTTATAGTGGTAGTACTGGTTGTAGTAGAAGTTATAGTGGTAGTACTGGTTGTAGTACTAGTTATAGTGGTAGTACTGGTTGTAGTAGTAGTTATAGTGGTAGTACTGGTTGTAGTACTAGTTATAGTGATAGTACTGGTTGTAGTAGTAGTTATAGTGGTAGTCCTGGTTGTAGTACTAGTTATAGTGTTAGTACTTGTTGTAGTAGAAGTTATAGTGGTAGTACTGGTTGTAATAGAAGTTATAGTGGTAGTACTGGTTGTAGTAGTAGTTATAGTGTTAGTACTGGTTGTAGTGCTAGTTATAGTGGTAGTACTGGTTGTAGTACTAGTTATAGTGGTAGTACTGGTTGTAGTAGTAGTTATAGTGATAGTACTGGTTGTAGTAGTAGTTACAGTGGTAGTACTGGTTGTAGTAGAAGTTATAGTGGTAGTACTGGTTGTAGTAGTAGTTATAGTGTTAGTACTTGTTGTAGTACTAGTTATAGTGGTAGTACTGGTTGTAGTAGTAGTTATAGTGTTAGTACTGGTTGTAGTACTAGTTATAGTGTTAGTACTTGTTGTAGTACTAGTTATAGTGGTAGTACTGGTTGTAGTACTAGTTATAGTGGTAGTACTGGTTGTAGTACTAGTTATAGTGGTAGTACTGGTTGTAGTAGTAGTTATAGTGGTAGTACTGGTTGTAGTAGAAGTTATAGTGGTAGTACTGGTTGTAGTACTAGTTATAGTGTTAGTACTTGTTGTAGTACTAGTTATAGTGGTAGTACTGGTTGTAATAGAAGTTATAGTGGTAGTACTGGTTGTAGTACTAGTTATAGTGGTAGTACTGGTTGTAGTAGTAGTTATAGTGGTAGTACTGGTTGTAGTACTAGTTATAGTGTTAGTACTTGTTGTAGTACTAGTTATAGAGGTAGTACTGGTTGTAATAGAAGTTATAGTGGTAGTACTGGTTGTAGTACTAGTTATAGTGTTAGTACTCGTTGTAGTAGTAGTTATAGTGGTAGTACTGGTTGTAGTACTAGTTATAGTGGTAGTACTGGTTGTAGTACTAGTTATAGTGGTAGTACTGGTTGTAGTAGTAGTTATAGTGGTAGTACTGGTTGTAGTACTAGTTATAGTGTTAGTACTGGTTGTAGTAGTAGTTATAGTGGTAGTACTGGTTGTAGTAGTAGTTATAGTGGTAGTACTGGTTTTAGTACTAGTTATAGTGGTAGTACTGGTTGTAGTAGTAGTTATAGTGTTAGTACTTGTTGTAGTACTAGTTATAGTGGTAGTACTGGTTGTAGTACTAGTTATAGTGGTAGTACTGGTTGTAGTAGTAGTTATAGTGGTAGTACTGGTTGTAGTACTAGTTATAGTGTTAGTACTGGTTGTAGTAGTAGTTATAGTGGTAGTACTGGTTGTAGTAGTAGTTATAGTGTTAGTACTTGTTGTAGTACTAGTTATAGTGGTAGTACTGGTTGTAGTACTAGTTATAGTGGTAGTACTGGTTGTAGTACTAGTTATAGTGGTAGTACTGGTTGTAGTAGTAGTTATAGTGGTAGTACTGGTTGTAGTAGAAGTTATAGTGGTAGTACTTGTTGTAGTAGTAGTAGTTATAGTGTTAGTATTGATTGAAGTAGTAGTTATAGTTGTAGTCCTGGTTGTAATAGTTGTAGTTATAGTAGTAGAAATGGTTGTAGTAGTAGTTATAGTACTGGTACTGGTTGTAGTGAAAGTTATAGTGGTAGTGTTGATTGTAGTAGTAGTAGTTATAGTAGTAGAAATGGTTGTAGTAGTAGTTATAGTGGTAGTACTGATTGTAGTAGTAGTAGTTATAGTAATAGTACTTGTCGTAGTAGTAGTTATAGTGGTAGTACTTCTTAAAGTAGTTATAGTCGTAGTACTGGTTGTAGTAGTAGTTATAGTGGTAAAACTGCTTGTAGTAGTAGCTATAGTTGTAGTACTGGTTGTAGTAGTAGTAGTAGTTACAGTAGTAGAGCTGGCTGTAGTAGTAGTTACAGTAGTAGAGCTGGTTGTAGTAGTAGTTATAATGGTAGTAGTGGTAGTAGTACTGGTAGTAGTAGAACGGGACAAAACATGGAGATGATGATGAGTACGAAAAAAGGAAGAAAAATTGGGATAGAGGAGAAGGTGAAGGAGAAAAACAACAACTTGAAACTCTAATGATCACTGCCACACTGACCTGAAAAGCCCTCAATGCCTGGTCTGCTCTCAGCAGACCCCCGTTAGGGTCCCAGATTGCAACATCGCCCTGGCCTGTGGTCAGCACGGGGAACCGTCGCTGTAGCTCCGGGGATGACAGGCTCTCGTGGGGAATGTTGTGAGCTCTCAGGGCGTCAAGTGCCCGTCTCATCCCAGGGCAGCCTCCTCTTCGGATGTCTAAAACCCCACAATTACTGGTGGAGCAAAACATTGTATTATATAAATTTTCAAGAGTTGAAAAGAAACTTCTAGTTATTCCATGGCATTTTAATAGTTACTCAAACCACAATGTTATCATAACTTTGACCTTCAAAATCTGTGTAATTTAATGAGCCACATTTTTCAAACTGTACAAAAGAATACCTTAGGGTTTAGCCCATTGATTGACCCTTATATTACACCTTGGTCATAGATAATGTTTAGTCGTACCAGCTTTCCCGTCTACTAATACAAATTCGCCTTTGGATAACTATCTTTTTTTTTTTTAATGATGAACCGGAAAGCGCCATCGAACAAACTATGCATTAAAAAAAAAAAAAAAAAAACATTTTAGAAGTTGTAAGGTATTTGCGGTGATGGTTGGTAGGTAATGACAACCACCTGATAGTTGGACTGTAATGACAACTACCCTGATGGTTGGTCTGAAGTGACAATCACCCTGATGGTTGGTCTGTAGTGACAATCACTCTGATGGTTGGTCTGTAGTGACAATCACCCTGATGGTTGGTCTGTAGTGACAATCACCCTGATGGTTGGTCTGAAGTGACAATCACCTGATGGTTGGTCTGTAGTGACAATCACCCTGATGGTTGGTCTGTAGTGACAATCACCCTGATGGTTGGTCTGTAGTGACAATCACCCTGATGGTTGGTCTGTAGTGACAATCACCCTGATGGTTGGCCTGTAGTGACAATCACCCTGATGGTTGGTCTGTAGTGACAATCACCCCGCACAACCTCAGTGGTGCCATACAGTTGGTTAGATTATTTAAAAAGACAGGAAGGTAGAGTGAGATGAAGAGAGGCGGGGAAAGGGGACAAAAACAGATAGGCAGCTTGGGGAGACAGATGGGGGGGGGGGGAATAGGAAACCGTTGGAAATGGGGACAGAGATAGGGAAACAGAATGAGAGAAAAAGATGGGGAGAGAAGGAGACAGACAAAGGATAAAGCTGACAGAAAGGAGGAGGAAGAAACAGGCAGAGGGAGGGAGTGGGATAGGAAGACAGCAAAGGAGGAAAGGAGAATGTCAAGTTACGGGAGAAAGATAGTAGGAAGGAAAGAGGGAATAACAACTGGAGGACACTAGGAAATGGATGGAGAGAGGAAAGTAGGAAAATTAGGGAATTGAAAAGGTGGCATGGAAGGAAATGAAAACAATATAAGAAAACAAAAAGGAAGGGGGTGGAAAAAATGAATATGAAAATAAAGGTAGGACGGGTGAGGGGTTGAGATAGAGAGAAGAAAAGAAGGGGTAGAGAAACAAATTAGTGTGAATAAAATGCAAAGAACATGCCCAGGAATGAGGGATTAATGCAGCCGCTGTCAATGCTGAAGATGAAGAACCTACGTGAACAACTCCACCCCCGACTCCTGCTCCAGCCTGCTCCACAGGGGAAAGGCGTCCACCATCATCCTGACGTAGAATTCATCCTCGTAGACATATCGGGTGATGCGGCTCTGGCCATGTGAGCTTCCGCGAGAATGGGGCAGCGGAAACTAATAACAAATGAATAAAGGAGACGAGGACAGGGCATTAGAATATACATGTGTGATTAAACAATACATAGACTAAAATAAAATATGTTTTATGTAACAGGTCCACGGCATCTGTTATATAAATTTTTATTAGGTCTGAAGCAAACCAAAAATCTGGCAAACTTGAGGTCAGAAAGTGATAAATGGAACAGGAGCGGTCCATTCGCTCTCTTAGGTCTCTGCTGTTCTAACGAGTAACATATAATTCTGATTTTCCCGTTGCATCCGAGGGTTTTAGAGCAACGTGGATTGAGGTATGTCGGTAAAGATATATTTTCATCTGTCGTAAGGGTATTTTCGAACAAATACCTTACAAACTGATAATTGAATCTATCGAATGTTATATGTTTAACAGGCTTGTATGGGTAGGTTTAAAGCCTGTTTTAATCATTTATGTTTGGCTACACTTGCAAACATAAACTGGAAGGCTTGCAGATCGGAACTCCCCGGAAGTGGCCAGTGAGTGAAAAAGCTGATGTAAGGCCCAGCGCAGCAGAAAATGGTCTCTTGGGTCTGCGGCGGCTAGACGAGACACAGGTGATCCTGACTTTTCATTGCGAGTCCGTACAGGGTTTCTAGCGCAACGTAGGTTGAGAGGGACCTAGTCAAGAGATGGATTGACTTCAGGTTTCGTGTTGTGATGGTAGGTTCAGTAGATAGACTGTGTTATATCTAGATTTCCATTGTGCATCCTCGCTCAAAGATGCTGCTAGTCTGTAGAGAAGGCAAATCCTCATCTTTGTTTTCTTGAGTGATTAGCATATGGTCTGTTCGAATATGTTGTCGACTGTTTATGTATTGTTATCTGTGAAGGACGTTAGCTCTGTGTTCAGGAAAAAAATATGTTGAATGTGATGCTTATAATCCTCTTATGTGATTCAGAATAAAACTTGTAGTTCATGCACGTGGTCTGGCTAGGCGCTGCCTATGTAGTCATGTGTTGTTGTTATTGTTGTTGTTGTTAATGATGCTTTTATTGTTGTTGTTGTGTAAATCACTATTTACATATTCGACTCCTTCATGGTTCATGCACTAAAAGAACCCTTGTCTTTTCTTTACTGTTTGCAGTTCAGCAGGGAACTACTTATTTTCTTAACCACATTTGTTTTCTTGTCTCCCTACTTGCGTTTCACCTTTTTCGCTTCCAGCTTGCACAAATGTTAGTCAGCTGCGTATACTTTACCAGACATGCTCAACTAACCCCAGAATTTGTTTGGTTGTGATGTTGGTTTTTTTAAGTCGAACTGACGTTCACCAGTTGCCTGCTTAACGGTCAGCTCTTGATACCACTGTCGAAACCAGCGCAAGCCGTTCTGTTGCCAAATCACCCGCAGCTGGGATCGAACTAGACACCCCTTAATTACGAAGCGTGTATGCAACGCCTAAGACACATACAAAGTTATATGTACTTTAGACACACCCCTAAGATACATACAATGTTATATAAACTTTAGACACACCCCTAAGACACATACAATGTTATATTACTTTAGACACACCCCTAAGACACATACAATGTTATATTACTTTAGACACACCCCTAAGACACATACAATGTTATATTACTTTAGACACACCCCTAAGACACATACCATGTTATATGTACATCACACACACACACACACACACACACACACACACACTTAGCCTACTCATTTGGACTTCCTGTTACAAATACACTCTAAAACACACAATTCCCCCCCCCCCTCCCACCAGCTGGCTGGCTCTATCGCCACACATTACCTGATCAAGTAGCAGAACCCTCAGCCCTTGTTTGACCAAGTTGTAGGCACTCGACGATCCCTCGATGCCTGCACCAATAACGATGACGTCATAGACTCCTTTGGAAGTGGTCATTCTGAAAGAAATGGTATCCCAAACATTTGAACAAAGCCAGTCTTGACACGAGAACAGGCAACTCCCATGTGGCAAATACTGGTGGGAACTAAGACGCAGTTTACAACCATTAATTTAGAACAACTGGGGCTTTCAAATTTAAATATTATTTGTATATTTTTTATGGTAGCTATTGTTCTGCATTTGTTCTCAAAAGGGCTATTGACACGATGTGTTGAGGTTTAAAGCTAGGCTGTGATATCTACGCCTTTCAACAGAACACTTCCAGTTACATCAAAACCTGAGAAATGGAAGGGGGGAGGGATAGAAAGAGGGGGAAGATAAGTCTTCTGACATGCCTGTTGAGGGCAATACGTAAATCCTACCCCACCCCCTTTCCCCCAACTGAAACCAAGGGATACACACAGGGATAATGTCAAAGTTCAAAAAGCAAAATATACCGTCAGTACACCAAATCTGAGCAAAGAATAAAGCTGACGTATAGACGACATCGTGTCTAAGAAACTGAAATCATTCGGCCACATCAAACGTTGCAGTGGTTGCGAAAGAAAGACTGACTCCTGGAAAGATAAGAAAAGCATTGAGGGAGGGGGATGGTAAGGGGGGGGGGGGGTATCACCCCCCACAGAAAAAAAGTAAAAAGGCTTGAAAGAGGGGGGGGGGGGGTCGATTTACATTAGCCAGGTTTCTATGTGAACAACACACATTTGTCACCATCACTTCAGTGTTTCTGACCCTAAATTGTCTTTGTTATTTTTAGCCAGGAAATTCAACGATAACACATATGCTTTAACACGAAACACTGCCTTGCTATTATTCTTAGTTAAGGCACATGCAGACTCAGACAGTATCACTGAGATAGCCTGTTTTTTCTGTATATTGTACCTGAAGTTACCGGGAAATCGCTGCATTGATGTTTAATATAAGCGGCCTTCAGCAAAGAGCTCATTATTTTGGGCGGGGGAAGCAATCAGCACCTTCTAAAAACATTTGGGAGGTCGGGGCGGATGGGGGAGGGGGGGGGGGAAGCTTAAAGGATCTGAGACACCTATGAGCCAAAGAAAATATCTATTCAATTTCTCTGTTTGGATTTTATGCCTGAGAAATTCTGTTCACACAGATAGGTAATCCTATACACTAGACGGATGAACACCACCCAACCACTCTAGCTGGCTACATGATTATGCAGAATGTGTTGGCGACAGGGATGCCAATGCTGGGTTTTTTCCCCAAGATCTTGGTTTTTTAGTTGCCGTCTTGGTTTCTTGGTTTTTATTTTGAAAATTATGGAAAATCTTGGGTTTTTCGTCTTAATGATGAAAAAAAAAAAAACACTATAATTTATAAATATTCTAACAAGAATAATGTGTGTACACATATCTATAGTAGTTTTACCCGCTAATTATATTTTTGAATGTCCTACAAACACTTAAAATAAACTCAGTGTAATTAATGTAACAGAATACAAAGGTTAACTCCAGGGCTATTCAGGAAAAATATAGCAGACCACCTAAGGACCAGATTTACGACCCCCAAGTGGTGGCCCTAAAGTAACAGATACTAGGGGCGGAGAAGCAAAATAGATGAAACCTGGGACTTTGGATCGTAAACTTTACAGAAGAAAGAAGGGACCTGACATTTAATTATTGAAGAAAGTTTGGGAGGCTTTTCCTCCCTTCTAGGGGTTATTGACTTGACATTGTAGCGTCTCATCGGTTGAATTGAAAGAAAGCAGATTAGCAGAAACCACTAGGGGACTAGGGGGGGGGGGGGGGGGGGGGGGGGGGGACCTTCAGTTAAATTTTCACTAGTTTTTTTTTGCTGTGTTGTGGTTTGTTGAACTGTGCTATCAAAATTTACTCTGATTATAACCTTGTTGAATTCAAAATGAGTGAACAGATTACACCATCGAAGAAAAGAAAATGGTATGCTCAGTGTGTCAAAGAGGAATGGCAGTATTGGTACCAATTGAGAAGCATAAAAGATGGCCTAAAATGTAAAATATGACATTTTATCCGCTTTTATGACCAATCTCACTATTTTGCCTCACTCGTCAGCAACGGTTGAACGCATATTTTCCATGATGATCTGTGTCAAAACTAAACAAACTAATTCTCTGAAAGCTGACACCGTAAAAGATCGAATTCTTGCAAGGCAAGCAATCACAAAAGGAAATAGCGACTGCACGACATGGACACCTAATATAGAATTGCAAAAAGAATTGCAAAGTGGCGCAGTTAGTCAAAGATATTTAAACAGAATGAAAACACAGAAAGAGATGGTGACAATTGAAATTGGTGAAGAAGGAGAGCTGTTAGAGTAACAGTTTAATAAAGGTGAGTATATGTTCAGTTTCATAACTATAAAATACTTTTTGCACAGTGCTGGGTTTTTTATTTTATTTTTTGTTCATATCTTGGGTTTCGTCAGCCCTATCTGGGTTTTTGACAAAAATCTCATTGGCAGCCCTGGTTGGCGGTCCACACAGACGGACCATGTTTTGTTTGTAGAACATTGACACAGAGCGATCTACTACCAGCCAGTTGCCTTCAGTTGGCTTCAGTGTAGTAAATATTTAAGTAAAGGACCCTTTTCCACGCCTTTAGGCGCCTAGGGCATATAGGGCTAGACCTAGATTTTATAGACCAATCGGCACAAGATGGCTGATGTGGTCAGCATAACGCCGGCCGCCTTCACTTCCCGTGATTGCACCCGATACCCATTCAAGTCTAGGTCGACCTGAGAGCTAAAGTCGATTTTGTAAAAAGTCCGGCTCCGCTGGGGAGCGAACCCGCGACCTTCCGATCCGCGGCGAGCGTCTAGCCGCTTCGCCACGGCGACTCCCAGTGTAGTTAATATCGTTCAATATTATTACGTTTATGGGATTGCGACCAGATGTCTACTGTTAGATGTCAGCCTTCTCGTTCAAACCTTCAGTAACATTTGTGTATCAGCTAAGAAACGTTTTAAAACTTCCTACAAACAAAAACTGATGTCTGTAAGTAATTTGTGCTAGGTAAAAACCTACCTCGACTTCAGGCCTCAGTCCAGGCTGCTGTCTATCTATGACAAGTTAAAAACAAAATATAACTGTAGCAATTTGAAACAGGACAGCAGCGTCACGACTATTGTAATTTAAACGGTGCAAGGGTGTTATGCCTGTTGCAATTTTAAACAGTGCAGGGGCGTCACCCTGTTGCAAATTAAAACCGTGCAGGGGCATTACGCCTGTTGCAATTTAAAGCAGTGCAGGGGTGTCGCAGTTATTCACACTAAATTCACCACTAGGTGCCCCGTCTGTTATCTTCTGAGATTACTGACGAGAATGACACAGATGGGCCGTCTGCTGAGACAGTCTTACACAACACGAAATCTGAAGCACCGGTTACGACCTCAGGGAATCTCCAAACCGGTAGACACAGACAAGACAAGACATCACCCTCAGACAAGCTTGAGCTCCCAGCAAGCCTCCCAATACTGGTCCCCCCCCCCCCCCCCCCCCCCCCCCCCTCCAAGATCTGTTTTTTTTTATGATGCGCTGAGTTCAGATTTTTAAATATATCTTTATATAAAAGTGGGTAAATGTTTCGTTTCGTAACTATAAAATGTGTACTTTTGATTATTCTTGGGTTTTTGTTATTCGTTCTTTGCTTATGTATTGCTGGGGTTTTGGGTCAGCTCAGCTTGGGATTTGATAAAAATCCAGGCGATCGTTGGTAACAAGAATTTTTTCTGAGGTAAAGGCGAGCTTGATGCTGCTTACGTTACTCGTCGATTAAAGGACGAGAAGAAGAAGAAGAAGAACGAAAGAACAAACTTTATTTTCAAAGGGTTACAAATTGGCACGCAGGCCCGTCTTACATTCGGCCCTTCCAAACACCTACCTTTCACACAGCAGTTATATTTTATCAATAAAGCCTGCTTGTTCACACCTAAGAAGAAGAAGAAGAAGAAGACGAAGAAGAAAGAGATTAGAAGGAGAAGAAGAGGAGGAGGAGAAGAAGAAGAAAAGAAGAAGATGGAGGAGGAGAAGAAGAAGGTAGAAGAGGGTAGAAGAAGGTAGAAGAGGAGAAGGAGAAGAAGAAGAAGAAGAAGAAGAAGAAGAAGAAGAAGAAGAAGAAGAAGAAGAAGAAGAAGAAGAAGAAGAAGAAGAAGACGATGGAGGAGAGGGAGAAGAAGGTAGAAGAGGAGGAGGAGGATGAGAAGAAGAAAAAGAAGAAGAAGAAGAAGAAGAAGAAAAAGAGAAGAAGAAGAAGAAGAAGAAGAAGAAGAAGAAGAAGAAGAAGAAGAAGAAGAAGAAGAAGAAGAAGAAGAAGAAGAAGAAGAAGAAGAAGAAAGAAGAAGAAGAAGAAGAAGAAGAAGTAGAAGAAGAAGAAGAAGAAGAAGAAGAAAGAAGAAGAAGAAGAAGAAGAAGAAATTAGATTAGAACGACCCTATCAGCTCGTTCACTTATGCAAAACACCCAGGTCACAACCTCTCCGATACACAGCTGCTACATTAATAGTAACGACAGTTTTGTCACTGACCGCCCACAGCCTGTGGGGTTTGTCATCTACCCTGTCCAGAATCTTACATTTGTGTTACTATTAGAATGTGTTATACCCTGTAGTTGCATTGTTTTGTTACACTCACAAAGCATGCTGAGAAAGGTGGAGACAGGCACGCTCCGTGCAGAGTGGCAAGCATCACTTCAGAGGTCCCGGGTACTTAGCATCCTTTGGATATTTTCTCCAGGTTATGCCGATATGTTGGGAAATGAGCAGGCAGATAGAGTGGCCGGTTCTGCACCACTTGGTGGTGAACTAATGTATGACAGGCTGAATGTTGTGAGGGCCCTTTGGGAGCAAGTGAACAGTGCCGACGAACAGGTATATCATTACGGTCTGAGGAGAATGGCCCTGCGAAAAGTTACAAGGGGATCTGGCCGACGCTCGACACTCTGGGGAAAGACGAGACGGATATACAATCAGACAGTTACTGGTACTATCGGAATTTTAACT